ATGTTTATTCTTGCCATCTCCTGTTTGACCACATCCAGCTTCCCAACGTTCATAGATCTTACATTCCAGGTTCCTATGCAGTATTTTTCTTTGCAGCATTGGACTTTCCTTTCACTTCCAGGCACGTCCACAGCTGAGCGTCCTTTCGGCTTTGGCCCAACCACTTCATTAGCTCTGGAGCTACTTGTCCTCTGCTCTTCCTCAGTAGCATGTTGGACGCCTTCCGACCTGAGGGGCCCATCTTCCAGCGTCATATATTTTAGTCTTTTGTTTCTGATCATGGGGCATTCTTGGCAAAGATACTGGAGTGGCATTGCCATTTCCTACTCCAGGTGGATTGCGCTTAGTCAGAACTCTTTACTATGTCCTGTCCGTCTTGGGTGTCCCTGCACGGCATAGCCCATAGTTCCTCTGAGTTACTCAAGCCCCTTCGCCACGACAAGGCAGCAATCCATGAAGGGGGTTTAGTACTTAGTTGTTACATTTTCTTACATTTCATTTTTAGATGGAGTATTGTTACATGTATTGGTTTAGTGTTGTGGGTGTTTTGGGTCTCTTTAGAGAGAAGAACAGCATATAAATGAAAACAATAAACAAGTAAATATTGTCATTTAATGCCCTGTTGACAATCATTTATTGATTTCTTGTTGCTGTCATCATTTCTACTAAGTGAAATTCTTGGGTATTTTCAAAGGCCGCCCCATATCTGCTTCATAGTAGTAGTCAATGTGGGAGAGCCTTCTCGCGTGACTCACTGAAGCATGTGGGGTCTTTCTCTGTCCAGACTGGGTTGTAGCTGAAGCTGGCAAAAGACATCTACGGACATAAAACCTGAGGGAGGAGGGTAGTGCTTTCAAGAACAGGTGGAACTCTGTTGCTCTAGAAAGACAAGCCACCCACCAGCAGTCTCTTTCTTGAGCGGCCCTTATCCAGACAGGATGAAGGACCGCTACAGGGGCTGAATGAGCAGAAAAGCTGCATGTCGATAGCACATCGGTCATGTGCTGTCAAGTCACCAACTGACCTATGGTGACTGTGGAGCTGCTGCATATGAGCAATCCAGAAGAATTTTTAAAAATCATCCTTTACTTTTAGGGATCCTTCAATCTTGAGAGACTATGGTAGCCTGTCCTTTACTAGTCTGTGGCATAAAACAGAGTAATTAAATTGTGTTGGTGAGAAAAGGAAGTCTGAGCTCTGGTGAAAATTGATGTAGACACTGAGTTTTTCTGTGTGCAGGGAATGGTTTAATTAATACACTTTGATATGTCACAGTCCAGACACCGGTTTGCCTCTTTATCTCTTCTTGTGAGAAAGAGGCCTTGGTTTAGAGCCCAACCAGCAGAACCCGGGGCTATCCTCATCCTCTGCTTACAGGATGTGGCATCCAGCCACATGTGGCAATGGGAATTCTTTTGGAGAGAAGCCGAGCTTCAGGAGATGACAGCTTTGAGCAGCGAGGCAGTGGATGCCCAGGGGTGTAAGTGTAGCTTAGTCACTGCCAGAACACTTTCCGAGCGCACACGCTTGTCGTAATCAGTCCCTCTGTTGCAAGCCAAAAGAATTCCGAATTCTGAAAGGTACAGGGTCACGGGGGAAGAAAGCGGCCATAGAAGCAAACGGCCACTCAGGAGGAGGCCCCACATGGAAATAGCGCCAGTGCCCACAGAGACAGCAGAGCCCCACTGCCACCCTCACCTTTGAGCCCTCTGGCACCAGTCTGGGCTGCAAGCTGGGATGTGTGCTGTGCCTGGCTGCCAAAACCATGAAGCCTTTCTACTGCTGGGGCAGGAAACTGGGCCAAGCCACTGGGGGGGGGGGTTGTGGAGGAAGAGATTCTAGTGCCAGGGACGAGGTGGGTGACCCTCCCCCCCCCCTGCAGGAGGACTCCCTAAGGAGAGCTGCTTAACC